CAGTACACAAAAATTAAAAACCTGCATTAACATTAAAAAAAAATTCAATACTGTTAAAATTTAACACTGTTGTTTGCAGAGCCTTCTGTCTTACGAGTACATTATTTAGAAAGTTTCAACTAAAAGTGGTGGATTGAGGAGATATGTTTCCACCTGCCACATCCTGAATACTCACTAAAGCAACAAAAAGGGATTTTTAAAAAAGGAGCAAAAAACTCACAAGGACAGGGCTGGGGTTGTGGCTCAGTGGTAGAGTGTGTGTCTCGCACATGTGAGGTGCTGGGTTCGATCCTCAGCACCACATAAAAATAAATAAAATAAGGATATTGTGTCCGTGTATAACTGAAGAAATATTAAAAAAAAAACAAGGACAAAGATAATGAAAGAGGAGACAAAGGGATGTCAATAAAATTTTCAAAGTTAAAAAATAGATAAATGGTAACTGATTAAACATTTTAGGGAAAGTGGAAAGCTCAGTGCCTGAAGTGGGAAAAGGCAACAAGCAAATTGATTAGTGCCCAGGAGTTCCAGAAAGGTTCAGGAACCAGAAGTACCCGGAACCTCTGAAGTCAAGGAGGTGAGAAAGACTGGAAGCAGATTGATTGAAAGTCTATATTAGGAGCATTGTGGACCCTAGATCTCTTTCTGTATTTTGTGCTGCATGCAGCCACTTATTCCTCACCCAAGTACCCCCCGCAACAAGGTTGGGGATTTTTACCTCTTGAACCGGACATAGCTCAAGTGGGGGTGATCAACCATTCTAAAACAGATGCATGGACACATAAAGTTTTTATATTGAGCAGCAAACTGCCGTCTCTAAACCCTTTCCCTATTCAACTCTGAGAATGCTGAAACCAGGGTTTTATCTTATTTTCAATGAGGGTGATGAAAATATTGTAAGATTTATCTCTAGGAAACATCCAGGAGGAAAGACTTACTTACCAGTGGTTATGTGTTCAGGTTCTTGTTTGTTCACCTTAGAGAAAAGCCCTCAACAGCACTCGTCCTACCCATTGAGGCGCTAATCAGCCGTGTAATATAATTCTTCACTTTTAAATAGAGACAGATAACCAAAGATCAACAGACATTTGAGGAAAACCTCTAACATGAAAGTCAGAAATCAAAATAAATGGAGTGAGGTAGGTGGGAGGAAGATGAAAAGAAAAGTAAAGATAATCAGAAAAGACATAATACAGGGAATGGGAAAAATTGTCTTAAAAATGACAATATTTTCAGAAATGCGAAAAGCTGTTTTATTCTCTAAATAGGAAAAAGATAACTAAAAGAAGCAACTTTCAAGTGACAGTTTTTGCAAATCTGAACTATGCCCACAGAAGTGAAAACTGCAGTAGAAATGTTTGAAAATTAAGTCATAATGTAGAACCTAAAAACAAAGAGATACAAAAATAGAAGAGAAAGAGTAAGAAATGTCCAATATATAAACAATAGAAGTTGCAGGAAGATAAAACAGAAGGAAACGGGAAGAAACCATCAAAGAACTATTTCAGAACTAAAGTATAAAATTTCCAAGGGTGAAGTGGGGATTAACTAGGGCTTGCCATAGTGGAGGAAAATAGGTCTATACCAGGCCTTTTCTTTTCTAGTGAACTTTCAGAAAGCTGGGGAAAAAGAGATCTAACAGGTTTTCAGAGACAAAGCAAGAGACTTGGGGATATGAAAGACTAGATTTTTCAGTAGATATATTAGATTGAAGGGGTCCCTAATATCTTTAAAACCATGAAAATTATTAGCAACCTAGAATTCTATAATTGGTCAAACCAGAATCAAGTATGAGGTTAGAATGATGCTTTCATGTATCTGACATGCAAGATCTTAAAAAGTTTATCTCTCTGGCACCCTCAAAGTTACTAAAGAATGGGTTTCATCAAAACAAGAGTGTAAACCAAGAAAGAGGAATATTTATGACCTAGAAAAGTGGGGGTGCATCTTAGGATAGTGGTGAAAAGTATTCCTAGATTGACAGGTGGTAGGCTGAGTAAGAAGCCAGTTCAGGTTAGAACATGAAATGCAGTTTTTGGGTAGAATGTTTCCAGAAGGGAGGAGACAGGTTAGTAGATGTGCTGTGAACATATTGAGAGGAAGTCTTTAGTGTTGAAACTCCTGGTTAAATTTGAACAATGGACTCTTTAAAAATTTTTAACTACAGAAAAAACAAAGTTTTGTGAAAAGAAGAAACAAACCATAGCACCCTATGCACCCTATGTAGTTTAGCTTCTGGGCTGATACTTCATATGGCCATATTGATTGTTAAAATACTAGCGTCTTGGGCCTCGGGTTATGGCTCAGTGGTAGAGTGCTCGCCTAGCATGTGTGAGGTGCTGGGTTTGATCCTCAGCACCACATAAAAATAAATAAAATAAAGGTATTCTGTCCAAATACAACTTTAAAAAAAATACTAGAGTCTTTATATTCTGATGGGTATAAAAGCAGTACCACAAGTATGCTCCCTGTTACCTTTCTTACACACCTAGGCACTACTTTCCCTACATCCCACAATTAAAAGGTTAGTAATTGTTATGGCAGGAGTCCTTGGGTACCCTCATCACTGCTTGGCCTCTTTTCTGATTGGTTGGTGTCTGTGTACCAATTAAATATTTAGAAAATTATCCCTACTTAGTTATGAATAATATTTGTATACTCATAATGTAAATATTAATCCAACTAAAAATTATGATAAAATTACAATAGGAGGATTCAGAGACTTGTGTATGGAAGGGAATGTCTTATAGTGCAGCTAACTTCTTATTTTCCATACTAGGAAATCTATGGATAATATCTGAAGCTGAAAAAGCTTAAAACTATATAAGCAGTTAATTTAGAAATTTAGAATTAATGGCAGAAAAAATAGCTACGTGTTTAGAAATTGTTCTTCCTGTGAAGTGAAAATTATAAGCGTCTAGAGGTGTGATATAAAGGATTGCTATTTGTCGTTATATGCCTTTGTAAAGCTGTTGACTTTTAAAATCCTGAATGTCTAGATCATTGAGAAAAAAATCAATAGTGTTTTAGGAGATATTAATAATGTTTTAAATAGAACATTAACAAATAATTTTAGTCATGTAAACAGCTTGATTTCTTTTTCCTCCAGTGGCAATATGATCACCTCACAGCCACTTATCTTCTTCTTCTGGCCAAGAAGGCTCGGGGAAAGCCGGTTCGTTTACGGCTTCCTTTTTCCTGTGGACCTGCTAATGCCACCCCAAAGGTAAATGCTAGAACCTCTCATGTGGATGCTTGCTAGTCTTGCCATGTACTACAACTCTGATGTCAAGGAGCCAAAGATAAATATTTTATGACATAAACATTTTCAAGAGGAAAATAGGAAGTTTTGAATTTGAATTTTTTTAAAAAAGTTTTTAGTTGTCAATGGACCTTTTTTAAAAAATTTATTTATTTATATGAGGTGCTAAGAATTGAACCCAGTGCCTCACACATGCTAGGCAAGCATCTACCATTGAGCCATAACTCCAGCCCCTGAATTTGAATTCTTAAAGTTTGAATGTTAATGTGGCTTTTTGCAAACCTTCTCCCTCTACCCTTTTTACTCATAAAAGCAACTCATACTTATTGTAGAAATAGATTAGCTAAAAGGAAAATAGAATTGACTTGTAAACCTACTATGTATAGATGACATAGCTAATATTTTACTGTCTTTCCAATCTTTTCTAGTGTACTTGTTTATATAATTTATGCACACACAAGTCTTTTAGAGGATATGTAATTGAATTGTAGGAAACAATTTTAAAGATCTGTGAATACAAGGTATATATGGCCCTTGTCAATCATGTGCTACATGATTGTGTCGTATGTTTCAACCAGACCTAATTTGCTTCTCTGCTTCACTCTGTAGTTGGTCTTTTTTTTTTTAATATATTTTTAGTTGTCAATGGACCTTTATTTATTTACATGTGGTGCTGAGAACTGAACTCAGTGCCTCACATATGCTCTACCACTGAGCTACAACTCCAGCTCCTGTAATTGGTCTCTTGACCAAATGCAGAACTAAAAGTATAGTGCAAGTGGCTGTAATATAAAGAGATCTTTGAAGTGAGATAATCTTATTCCTAGGATGGTGTTCTAGCTATTTTTGGAATTTATTGGGTTGGTGAATACCCCATGCCTAGACAGATCTTTTGTGTGTGGACTCCATGAATCAACCTATCATCCTTCTGTCACAGACTCATTTAGGTCCAGGAGGATACAAAATCATGAGCTTTGCATCTGATTAGGTAATTGCAGAAAGGTATTAGATTCCTCTCTACTTAGGATAATCACTTAGCTAAATTTTAAAATTTATAACACGGTTAAGTTGTCTGAGACATTTTCCTGAGTCATTGGATTTTCTTATATCTGACTTGGCATGATCTCAGTTGAGACACTTAACATGATTTGTAAAGTATTCAAGTGAAAAATATATGGGAAGATATTTACTCTTATCTTCCATTTACCCTATAATGAACATTTTTCTAATAATTTTATTATTGGGTTAGTCATTGAGTCAATTTTTATAGCAAATAGACGTGTGTGTGTGTCTGTGTGTGTGTGTGTGTGTGTGTGTGTGTGTGTCTGTCTGTCTGTCTGTCTGTCTGTCTGTAGTTGTAGATGGATAGCATGCCTTTTGTTTGTTTTTATGTGGTGCTAAGGATCGAACCAAGTGCCTCACACATGCCAGGCAAACATTTCTGCCACTAAGCTACAGCCCTAGCCCCGCAGATAGAAGTTTTTTTTAAAAAATTTATTTATTTATTCTAATTTATTATACATGTCAGCAGAATGCATTTCAATTCATAGTACACATATAGAGCACAATTTTTCATGTCTCTGGTTATACACAAAGTAGAATCACACCATTCATGTCTTCATACATGTACTTAGGGTATTGATGTTCATCTCATTCTACCATCTTTTCTACCCCAATGCTCTCTCACTTTCCCTCCCTCCTTTTTGCCCTATCTAAAGTCCCTCCATTTCTTCCAGGCTTCCCCTGACCCCCATTATGGATCAGCATCCACATATCCCAGAAAACATTCAGCCTTTGGTTTTTTGGGATTGGCTTACTTCACTTAGCATGATATTCTCCAACTCCACCCATATACCTGCAAATACCATGATTTTATTCTCTTTTAACCATAGATAGACATTTTAATGGCAAGATGTGAAATTGAAATCAAATTTGGGGTCTTTTTTTTTTTTTTTTTTTTTGGTTTTCGTTTTATTTATTTTTTCTTTAGTATATATGACAGTAGAATCCATTTTGATATAGTTGTCCAAGCATGTACATCTTATTCTAATTAGGACCCCATTCGTGTGGATGTACACTTTGGGTCTTCTTCTGATCTTTATTCAAATCATTGAGCCTTGAAGCAAGCCACATGATCTATTTGTACTATTTTCTCCTTTAATAAAAATCACCCTTTTCCTCAAAAATTCTGAACTATCAAACAATAGATGGCATATTCAGTGAAACAATAATACAGTCTGATCCAAGATTCATAAAAGATCACACCATCATCAGCATTGTTAGCATTTCAGGCCCCATGCTAGATCTTGGGAAATAAATCTATATAAAGTGCGATACCTGCTTTTTAACAGTCAAGTTGAGGTATGATTGATCTATCTGTCTGACTATCTGTCACACTATATTATAGGGCCAGACGGTTGCCAGGTAAGTGGCTAAAGTTATGCTGTAGGGGATTTTGAGAGCAGGAGTGATAACCATGAGAAGTTTTGTGAAACCATGAAAATGAGTTTGAAACTGGACTCACTTTGACTCAGCTGAGTTAAAAAAAAAAAGGAAAAGAAGGAGCATGGTAATCAGGATAAGATAAATAGAATTAGCAAAAGCTTAGGCACATCATAATGCTTAATGTATTCTGTTGACAGTAACTAGGCTTGTTTGCTTAAAATCAAAAGTTCAAGTAGGGGAAAAGTAAGAATGAGAGAACAAGAAAGTTGGAAGGGTGGGGAAGAGCTAGAATGTAGAGAGCATGTCAGAGTTTTAGACTTTGTACAATAGGTAATTGAGAACCATCAACTTTTTTTTTTAATATAAAGGTTTTTCTTTCTTTCATTTAAGTTGTTGATGGATCTTTATTTATTTATTTTTTATGTGGTACTGAGGATCGAATCCAGTTTCTCACACATGCTAGGCAAGCATGTTACCACTGAGCCACAACCCCAGCTCAGGAACCATTGATTTTTGAGCAAGGAAGAGATAAGACTATGATTTTGAAAAATTTACCTGTGATATATAGAATTGTTCAGTCAGGGATTGTTTAGTTATTACCTATTGCAGGACCCATGACGGCCACCATTTATACAATACTGAACTTTCCCCCACTGAGCCTAGACTTAACTTTAGTATTTTCCTCATCTTTGCATTACATGCAGCCAGTTCTAATTGGGCAATTCTGTAGAACTCTGTCACCTGGTTGAAAGGGTGGGAATGGAAAGATAGTTAGCAAAGCCACATTGTCTGCATAGTTCAGGTATAAGCTTTGTTCTGGAGTAATGGCAGTGGGTCTAGAAAAGAAGGATGAAGTATAATAAATTCAGGTAAACTTACTTGGCCAGATTAGCATGATGAAGGAAAAGGAAGGAGGGAGAAATTAAAAAAAATACAATAATACTCCATACTCTTAGACTTTAGGGTGAATGTGGTATACCCTTTGTTTATAAAGGGGAAAGAATGAGGGAGAATATGTTAGATGCTGATGAAAGTGTTAGCACAGAACCCCAAGTATCATGTCTGTGGGAGATGTTTCATAAGACTAATTTACTCCTGGTAGAAATAATTAATGTTCTGTATGTTTTTATGTAAAACACCTGAGTTTCAAAAGTCATTTCCTTTCCATCTTCTGCTTTGTCAAAGCTTTTTATTTGTTAATTTACAAACAAGTTGTCTGATATTGTAGTGATTGTGTGATACTGATAAGCTAAGTAAGTAGTATGCCATATAACTTAAGAATGTTCTAAGACAGCCAGAAAGATCTTCTTTGCCCCCCTTCCTTACAGCAGTAAGGAGTTCCCAAATTAGAGGGAGGAAGGAAACCAGATTTAAAGTTAGGTAAATCGGGTCTAATACCGAGTGAAAAGTGTAGTTAGGTAAATCGGGTCTAATACCGAGTGAAATCTAAAATTGAGGCCATGCTGAGAATGATTCCAGGAAACGCAGGACAACTCATGGAATGTTAATGAAGTCCGAAAAGGCCCTAGGCCAAAGTCCACCTCAAAGAAGTGTTAATGAACAGCCCCCAGCAGATTTGAAGATAGCCCATCTCAAAGAAGTGTTAATGAAGTCCTTCCGGCTCAGACTACTTCTTTGGCCCACCTGTGTCCCACCCCTTGGGCCTTCCCACCTACATTCCATCATTGAAAGAACTATAAAAAGGGGAGACAACCGCACTTCCACGGATTCCACCTCTTGGGTCTCCTTCTTGGGAGAAGTCTTTTCTGCTGTCCTTTAATAAACTTCTAATTTCTACTCTGGAAAAAAAAAAAAAAGAATGTTCTAAGACACATTGTTTGGGAGTGAGAGTCTCCTGAAAATTAAAATAAAAACTTTTGACTTGTTGTTTTTGTATTTGATGGTGAACTCATCCAAATTCCTGTCTTTTGTTTGTTTCTGCTTCAGGACCTTCCTCTGGGCCTGGAACATACTGTTTTAAAAATCAAACAGTGTTGCTATTATCTCTTAATTTATTTTATCTTTTAATTCAATAGTCAAAGAATCTGAGCTTGGAAGATGTGACAAGTGATGAAAATTATGTGGCTGGACTAATAGACTATGAATGGTGTGAAGACAATTTATCAACTCCCCAAACACCACAGGTTAGTAGTTGTTATTACTATTTAAGGCAGAACAGGTCTCAATTATAAAAACACCTAGACTAACATGATGAGATCAAGTGTGTGACTGCAGATTTATTGAATAACAACTGAAAATATTATTGAGAGATTATTGGAATATTAATGAAAGGGAAGGCAATTATTATCAAGTTTAAAAAAACCAAGATTGAGCCAGGTGTGGTGGTGAATGCTTATAGTTCTAGTGACTCAGGAGGCTGAGGGAGGAGAATTGTAAGTTTCAGGCCAGCCACAGCAACTTAATGAGCCCCTGTCTCAAGATAAAAATTAAAAAGGGATTGGGCTGTATGTAGCTCAGTGGATTGAACAAGGTTGTGTTCAGTCCCCAGTACCAAAGAAAAAAGAAAAGCCATGACTCCATTTTGTAGCACTATATTCTTCCTTTAAAAAAAAAAAAAAAACTTAAACATAATTTACATGTAGCTAAGTGGTTAAATCCTCCCTTCCTGGTATATAGATCTATGTTACTTGTCAGTAGAACAGACTAAAATAAAATAATCTACATGAATTAAAAAGAACTGGATATATATTTTCAAATTTCCTGGTATTGCCAATAATAACCTTTTTAAAAAAAATTTTTAAATTTGTTCTAATTAGTTTTATATATGACAGTACAATGCATTTTGACACATTGTACACAAATGGACCACAGATAACAACCTTTTGATAGTATCTGATGTTTAAAATGTGTGGTACTGAGGTTCGAACCCAAGTAGTATTTAATTTTAATAAAAATAGTGCAAGGTACTTTGGAAATGATTTACGCATGCTGCAAAAAAATTGACTTTTCTTTTTCAGTGTGCTTTGTCTGGTAACTTTCTTTTTTTTCCAGTTTACCAAGCACTGGACAGAATCAAATGGTCTGGAGTCTAAATCATTAACTCCAGTATTATGCAAGTCATCTGCAAATAAATTAAAGAACAAAGAGAATGTATATACTCCACAATCTGCTGTAAAGAATGAAGAATATTTTGTATTTCCTGAACCAAAGACTCCAGTTAATAAGAACCAGCATAAAAGAGAAGTACTAACAACACCAAATCATTACACTACACCCTCAAAAGGTATATGCTAAGTGAATTAGGCAATGATCAAAATGTTTCAGATTTCATTGTTCTTACTGTGTTAAACATATCATCAGGTCAGAAATTACTAGCATTGCTGTCAGGAATTTCTAGAAGTCAAGTTGCTTCTTATTGTATGCTATTTGTATTATTTGAAATGAAAGCATATTAGTTAACTTCTAATAATTCTCAAATAATACTGAGGGTTTTTTTCCCCACATTTAAAATATTGAATCATAGCATCATAGGGTAGCACAGTTGAAAGAGCAAGTTAGAGCTTGACTAATCCAACTCTCATTTTTTCACATCTTAGAAGCCTGACTCAGAGGGCTGAAGTGATTTTCCTAAGGTCATATATTCAGGTTTAGACCTTGCTTGCTTAGTTATTCCCATTTAGAATGACTCAAACCAAAGTCTCTGCAGAACCCTTCTGGATACTCATCTGGATCTCCACATCTGGTTTCTGGTCCTGTTTTTCCTGTTGTTATTACTCGCCAAACACAGTATATAGGGTAAATCTGTGATGTCCCTCTAGGTATCTAAGTCTATGTCTAGTAATCACAACTCTCATTGCCCTTGGTTTCCTCTTTAGTTTAAATATTACCAGTTATTTAAACGGTTTCCCTTAACCCTTTGGTTACTGGCCTCAGCTGGATATATTCTACTTTTGTCAATGATCCTCTTAAAATATGGTACTTAGGACAAAAACCCAATTTTCTAGGGTTACTAAGAAAATTAAACAAGATAAGACAGTCTTACCAAGATAAGGTAGTAAGTGTCATGACAGCAGACTCAGTCATGTTTATTATAGCTGCGCATAGTATGTAGTAGGGTCATATTTGCCAAATGAAGGAATAAACTAGGGCCTAAATGAATTTTATTTACCTTGAGCCAGTCCATGTTTCTTTTAAAAATGATACATAAGCTTTATTAGCCTTATTTCCAGTAATCACGACCTTCCCTTGTTTTATTTTAAAATCCTGGGAACTCAAATTCTGAAACATTGCCTTGTGAACTGCTGCTAAACTGCTTTTTGTGCTTCTAGTTTGCTGATGGAGTTGATAACCAGTTTCAGTGGTCAATCTATTATCCATAAAGATATTATGGAAGACTTTGCTTGATTATTTGCTAGAAGTCCCATTATTGTGTTAATGGCATTTTTATTTCATCAATTCAAGTCCCAAAAAATGTGAGGCCAGTTTTGTGTGATGAGTGTTTTTGTTTGGTTTCCTGTGTTACAAGGGTTCAATGTGATAACAGATACATGTAGTAGGATCCCAACGTTGCTATGATTTTATCTTTTTCCAATAAGGTATCTCATTCCTCTGTTATTTCTCTCAGTATAACTATAGTGTCCTTTATGAGTCATAGATTGGTCAGGGAAATAAGATGAACCTTAGCTCACCTTATTTTATTAGTGGATTTTTAAAAACCCTGTTGACAATATAATCTTTACCATTATTGATACTTTTTATGTAACTGAAGGTTTTTAAATGTGAATGGCTTGAAATTTATTATCTTGAAGTGTCATCAGTAAACATATCTTGTCCCTGTGAGATTGTGTTGGTCAAAAAGCTTTTATTAGCTGTTTTTCTTTAAATTAAGAGCTGCCTAAGAGGGAAAGTGGCTGAAGCTATAATTGATAGCTTCCATTAGTGTATTTTACTTTTGCTGTGAGTTATTTTTGACACAAACACTAATTTCATTTTTGTGACTCCTGCAGTGAGAGTTTTCAGAGGACAGCTATGTGTAGTAGCAGATACTTTCAGGACACAAAGATGAAAATTATTTTCATGGGTACTTCTGATTGCTCTTATTTTCTTATTGTGGAACTAGAGAAAATAAAGCTTAATATTTATAAATAAAATCAAGCCTACAATCTCTCTTGAAAAACTTGATATCATATCTTTGTTATTATAAAATAAATATTATTTCTAAAAGGTATAAAACTCTTAGATCATGAATGAAAAGTTAACTATTTAGTAGTAACCAGATTTGTTACTGAAAAATTGATACAAACTATCTGAGATTCAAATACCCTAAATAAAGTAAAGCACAAAATTCAGGAATTGGGAAATATAAAAAATAATGGAGCTCATATTTCTTTTTTTTTTTTAAGTTTATTTAATTTATTTATTTTTATGTGGTGCTGAGGATTGAACCCAGTATCTTACATGTGCTAGGCAAACACTCTACCATTGAACTACAACCCCAGCCCTCATATTTCTTTAATAATTTTTATCAAGCATTTTCAGGGGACTGATCACTTTGCCTAACAGAAGTTGAGTAGGGCTGGGAATGGAATTAACACTTATAATGCTACATCAATTATGGCATAAACTGGGGCCCTTGAATGAATATAAATTGATTTTTATTTATAGAAGGAAGAATCATTAATCATGAAATCTATATTTGTATGATCTATTTAGATGTATCATAATAATATCATAAAATACATGGCCTCAGTTTGCAGGAAAGAAAAGAAGAACCACACATCAAAGACAAAATTATTTTGTTTTTATTATAAAACACATGGATATACTTCCTTTAAAAATTTGATCTGGGGGGCTGGGATTGTAGCTCAGCGGTAGAGTGCTTACCTAGCATGTACAAGGCCCTGGGTTCGATCCTCAGCACCACATGAAAATAAATAAATAAAATAAAAAGCATTGTATTCAACTACCACTAAAATATAAATATTTTTTAAAAAATTGATCTGCGTGCATTGGCAGTATACCTGTAATTCCAGCAGTTCAGTGGGCTGAGCCAGATGGATTTCAAGTTTGAGGCCAGCCTTAGGTACTTAGTGAGACCCTGTCTTAAAACAAAAAAGACTGGGGTTTAAGACTGTGGTTGTAGCTTAGTGGAAAGCACCTCTGTGTTTAATCCCTAGTACAAAAAAACCTTAAGAATTAGAGTCTTTAACATTATTGGGTAAATAGTAACAATATTTCAAGTCAATAGGTAATATATACAGTATTGGTAGAAATTTTGGAACCATAGTACATCATCTACGTATGGTTTTTGTTTTTTGTTTTTTCTAATAGCTAGAAACCAGTATCTAAAAGAAACCCCAGTTAAAACATCAGGAAATTCAGCAGGAAGAGACAAGTTAATGACAAGTGTCATTAGCCCTGAGAGGCGGTAGGTATTCAGTTTTTCAGACTCTGAGCTTTTTTGGTATATGTAATGAGATTTCTCTTTTTATCTTTGATAACTCTAATTAAGGGGAATCATGACATATATGCTCTATAGGAATGTCTGCAAGATGATGGTCTGTGACCATTACCAGAGCTGTTGGCTCTGCCTTCTTCATGAAGTGGAATTATAACTGATTAGCAATGGGACTGGCACGGTTTCTTAAAGTACAGATGGGAAGACAATGGCCCTGCCTCCAGCTATCTAGAGTTCCCTCTCTGAGGCCCATCTTTCCTTGCTCATCTGCCAGTAGAGCATAGGTATCTACTCACAATAGCTTCCCCCAGATAGTAGAGATACTAACTGGGTGTTTCAAAGAAAACCCACCACTGTAGGATGAAATATTCTGCAACAATAAGGGCCACTGTCTTTTATAACTTTTTTTAAAAGCATGATACATTTTGGTGGACAGTTACAGTGATTAGAACGTGTAAATGACCCTGTAGAATTATTACTAATTTTCTTGATGTGCTAATGATATTGTGGTTATGTAAGACAATGTTCTTATGGAAATGTATACTGAAATGTTTCAGAGTGAAGTGTCATGGTATCTTCAGATATCTCAGCAAATATTCACATACATTTAATGTATTTGTACACATTAAAGAAAACTAATGTGATAAAATACTAACAGTTGTTGAAACTAGGAGGACATATAGGTGTTTGTTGTATTATTATTCCAATTTTTTAGTATATTTGACATTATTAAAAAGGGGGGGTGTAGTTTTGTCAACTAGCACTTGCTTGGGGTGAGGGGACTGACTCCTCTCCAGTGGGATATGGCTTTAGTTCCCCCTGAGGATGAGATGATCTGGCTCAGGCATACCTGGTTGAGGCACTCCAATGTGTGTAAAGGGACACAACAGGGCCTGTAAGGGCCCAGCAGGCGGGGAGCCCAATGCTACTTGTACTTTGTTTTTTTAAGGTGCCGCTCAGTGGAACTAGATCTTAACCAGGCACATATGGAGGATACTCCAAAAAGAAAAGGAACCAAAGTGTTTGGGAGCCTTGAAAGGGGGTTGGATAAGGTCATCACTGTACTTACCAGGAGCAAAAGGAAGGGCACTGCCAAAGATGGGCCAAGAAGGCTAAAGGTAAGTATATTGGAATTCTCTAATATAGATTTCAGAAGATGACTGCTTTTTGTTGTTATTCTTTTTTTTTTTTTTTGTAGTTGTAGATGGACAGCATGCCTTTATTTTACATATTTTTGTATGTGGTGTTAAGGATTGGACCCAGTGTCTCATACATGCTAGCCAAGTACTCTGCCACTGAACCCCAGCCCCAGCCCTGTTATTGTTTGTTTTTAAGAAAAATACTGAATGAACTGATTGGTGTTTTTTATTTACTTATTCTTTCCCCTGAATTTTGGAGCACTTACTATATGCATTTTCCTATGCAGTGGACTTTCAGAATGTAGAGGTAAATCACATAAATTCTTTCAAAGAGCATATGACTATAATTTAAATATTAAAGATCAGATGGAGGGATTAATCACCGAGGCAACATGGAGTGGGGGAGGCGTGGGGAATGAAGAGCTGCCTTGAGGATGGGGGCTGGAGCTTAATTGTTGTATCTCTGGCACATAGAAGAGTCCCTGCAACATAGGTACCTTGGCAGGCCCTCACAAAATATTAGCATGTGTGAGAAGTTGATTTAAACTTTGAATGTCAGGTGTGTGAGGAAAATAATGAGGAACAGGCTGGGAAGGAAGGCCAGGAGGTCCTAAAGGGCCTGGCTAAGAGGTTTGGATCCTTTTTTGATAGAAGTGTCTGCCTTAAAATGGGTTAATCTGTGAGTAGTATGAACAATATATTTAGTAGGGAATGAAAGGAAAAATAAACTGTTAGTAGATATAAAATGCTTCTTATTTTCTTGGATTCTCTCTGAGCATTCATTCATTCAAACATCCAATGAATGGTGTTTCTATTGGGTGGAAGGGAAGAAGTAAGAGGTAAAGGGATGAATAAGACACAGCTCATTCCCTTGAGGAACCCATAGAGCGGCATTGAAAACAAGCTAGAACACTACTCTGACACCCTGGGTTCAGTGCTGTAATAACTATAAGTTCCAAGAGGGTGGGACCCAAAGGAGGGATGATAGTTCTTGTGATTTGGGGACTGGGTCTGTGTTTAGTTTTTGTACCAAGACTTTGAGTAATTTTGCATGGTCTAGGAAAATGCTGAGCAGTTGGTCAGAAAGGTGCTTGTGAAGAAAATGTTCTGTGGTCCCATTTATGCCCTGCCTCAAAATGGAAGATGGGACTTGCCAATTAGTATTGGTTGTTGTCTTGTTGAATTGATAGTACACTGGGAAATTTTATGTAATGTATGGCTATTTATTCACTATACATATTTTATTCTTTTATTCTGAGATTTCTTTATTTGGAGACAGGCAGTATTTCAAATTCTAACATTGGGATTAAGAAAAACATGAAATAAGTAAAATTAAAGAAAGTTATCCAACTACAGGTATTATTGAGAAGCTAAGCAGATATCAAATATTAACGGGTAATATTCTAAAACTTTACCTATGTATATTGTTTGGAACCTCACTGCATTTTTCAAAAGAAACTGCTGTGGTGTTAATTGGTGTTTCAGGTAGTCTCTGAGCACTTCCCCCATGTAGAAGAAAAACCATGAAGACTGGAGATCAAGAGACCTGGGTTCTAGCACAAGTTTTGTATTGTATAGTTTGGACAGGTACTTTTATCCTGATTTCTATAGTTTCTTCATTTGTGTAATCTGGAGATAATGCCTACCCTGGCAACCTCATAGAGCTGAACTGTACAAACAAGCTGTACAATTGGATATGGCATTGCACATGGAATGCTTTATTAGTATAACGTATCATTCCAATGTTAGGGATTTTTATCATTGTTGAGCATTTTAACCCCAGTATAGCAGAACCACAGTCTTAATTAGCACAAACCGAAGATCTGAAGCTTGATATAACTTTGCATTTTTGAGTCTTTTTAATGCTGTAAGTTTTTGAAGGCCTGAAGGACTGGCTTTAGGGAATCTCATTTTTTCTACTAACTTCTTATATTAAAAAAATAAACTTATAGAAAGGTTCTAAGAATAGTAGAACAATTAGTTTTTTTTTTGGGGGGGGGTGTTCACCAGGGATTGAGCTCAGGGGCATTCAACTATTGAACTGCATCCCCAACCATATTTTGTATTTTATTTAGAGACAGGGTTTCACTGAGTTGTTTAGTGCCTCGATTTTGCTGATCCTGCTGTCTCAGCCTCCTGAGCCACTGGGATTACAGGTGTGCACCCTACCTAATTTTAGTTTTTAAGATAGCAAGTCATATGCAGTTAAGCCCACTTTTAGGAAGCAATCTATTAAAAAAAATCTCAAATTTAAAGAGGTAAATTAGGATTATTCTTTATTTTACGAAAGCAATAAATTGTGATTTGGAAATGTGTGATATATTACCATCTTAACAGAACTAATTTAGTTTGATGATGAGCCTTGGATTGGAAGCTAGGAGATAGATGGTCCCATCCTGATTGAACTGCTTATTCCCTTTGTAATTTGAAGCTGAGGTTCCCAAACTCCAACCATTTAACACTTGCCTTCACAACATTTGTTTATTGACATATCCTCTGTACTATTTTTGATATGATATTTTGTTTATGGTGATTTTCTTTTAAAAATAGATTTATATAGGTATTATTGACATATAATAAGCTGTACATATCTGAAAAGTACAATTAATATGCTTTGGCATTATATTTATATATGCTTGTAAACTTAACACAATCGAACCAACTATCTTTTTTATTTTTATTTTTAAATTTTTTATAGTTTTTTTCTTTTTTAAAATATTTTATTTTATTGTTTTACAACTATCTTTTTTAAAATTTAAATTAAATAAATTTAAATTTTCTTTTAAATAAAAGAAAACTGTTATTTGTTTTTGTTAATTTTTACAGATCAGATTGAAACAAATATGTAAATATTAAAGTAAAAATATTTTTCCATGTGCTATCTGGAGTTTTCTTGGATATCTCCAGTGATAATTTATACCCCACTATGGGAAACTCTACCTTAAATTTACATTCTTTCTTTGGGGCACATACCACACGTCTTAATTTTGAAAATTAAGGAAGCTGGTTCTTTTCTACCTCAGCACTTTGTTATTTATAAAAATAACTCAAATCTCAAAAAGACATAGAAAGTATGATTTTGGCAGTAAGAGAACTATTAGGAATGTGCGGTTTTTGTTCTTTTCCAATACCTAGTAAACAGAGCCTATCATATGATAAGTATCCAATATATCAAAAAATAGTTGTTTGCTTATTTATTTATTTTTTTTTGTGGTACTAGGGATTGAACCAAGGGATGTTCTACCAGACCTACATCCCAGCCCAGTCTTGCTAAGTTGCCCACTTGTTAGGTGTGCACCACTGCACCTGACTCTAGTAAATAGTTGTTGAATAAGTGGATATATGGATATCAATTATGAATGAATATCTTAGAATTATGATCTCAGTCAATGAGGAAGAAAAATAACATTACTTTTTTAAAGGAGTATCTATTATATTCATTTCCTTATTGAATTGTCATAGAATCAGCTCCTAGAATTCTGTAATAATCTTTAAAAAAAATTTTTTTTAGTTATAGTTGGACACAATACCTTTATTTTTATTTGTTTTTATTTTTATGTGATGCTGAGGATCGAACCCAGCGCCTTGCGCATGCTAGGTGACTACCGCTGAACCACAATCCCAGCCCCCTATTATAGTCTTTGAATATTCCAGAAAGAATTAAAGAAACATCCAACTATATACAAGCAAACTTTCTAGGGCATTTGTTTTATATTCCCACAGTTTACATTTTAGGACTATTAATGTCTTTATCTTGATATGAGAAAGTAGAATTAGGTACAGCTTAAACAGGTAAGTTGAGGCTATTAAATATTTATGTCTTAAAAAATATTGATTAGGTCTGGCATGGTGGTGAATGGGCTATTGAGGATCCTGATACAGGACTGCAAATTTGAGGTCAGTCTCAGAAACAGTGAAACCTCCTTGGGGGACGGGAAAGGAGGGAGGAGGATGAAATTGGCAGGAGAGTAAGATGGAAGTATAGAGTGGAATAACTTGGATGAAGTTCCTAATAAACATTGTTTCTCCAAGCTTCCCTAGCACCATCTTAATAGAATTAACCGAGTTTGCTGTCAATTGTTTCAGTATTTTTCTTGAAATATTTCTGCTTGAAAAGATGTTATATTGAGGAATTTTGGGTCTCTACATCAGATAGGATGGTCTTTGGGCTTATGTAAAGGTTTACTTCTTGTTCCTTTTTTTTTTTTTTTTTAATAGCTTCACTATAATGTGACTACAACCAGATTAGTGAATCCTGATCAACTCTTGAATGAAATAATGTCTATTCTTCCAAAGAAGCATGTTGACTATGTACAAAAGGGGTAAGAAGCAAAATTAGAGACTGTTGCATTTATTACTCTGTATTAGACTTTAAAGAATGTGAGTTGATTCTCTTCCCATCTTACCATTTAAAAAATTTTTTTCCCATTATTTTTTGAAAAGCTTTTATGGTAGTATCATTGTTCATAACTTATTCTCTTCTATTTGAGATATTAAGGACCTCCCCTTTTTTTTAAGCATTTTTTAATTTTTTGATAGTTTTAAATGGAATTACCGCATGGATGCAAACACACTGGTCTTGATCATTGACCTCCCAAAAACTGGAGAAAGTTGAAAGCTACTAATATCTTCCCAGTTTCCCGTGCCTTTCTAATTTCCCGCTGGAATGGAGTAAGGAAAGTCATCATCAGTTCAGAATACCTGTTAAAATTTGTCCTTCTAACAGGGAGCGGCCGAATTTGAATGGCCGGAGCAGGCCCCATTAAGCATAATTTGTTAAAATTCCCTGGTAAGGGCTGGGGTTGTGGCTCAGCGGTAGAGTGCTCGCCTCGCATGTTCGAGACCCTGGGTTCAATCCTCAGCACCACATACAAATATAACAAGTGAAATAAAGGTATTGTGTCCAACTACAACTAAAACATAAATATTTTTTAAAAAAATTCCCTGGTAATTCCTGACTTCATTGTCTGACTCCTCTCTCTCAGACTGGACCCTTCTGTGGGCCTTTCCCTGTTGCCATCTTGACTCTCCCTCCTTTTTATATATATATTTTATTTTTTAGTTGTAGTTGGACACAATACCTTTATTTTATTTATTTATTTTTATGTGGTGCTGAGGATCGAACCCAGGGCCTTCCACATGCTAGGCAAGTGCTCTACCGCAGAGCCACAACCCCAGCCCATAAGCACCCCTTTTGAAGTTAAACTTTTATCTTGGAATGAGAATATCTGAACTACCAGTTTTCTTTTAAATCCTGTATTCCTTTGATTCTCTATTCTACAACAATATTTATAGATTTTTATAATGTGTATAAATTTTAATGTAAATGAATTAGACACTTTGAATAAATCAAAAATTTATAGAGAATCCTTCTCTTTGTGATTGGCTATCTCATAGTACTGGGTTTTCAGTACTTTAAACTTAAACTTTTTTCTTGCTTTTGAGTACTCTGACTCCTTGATGAGAGTCTCATGGTCCAAACAGCCAGACCTCTTCTGCTTATCCAAGATCTTCATATTTCTAAGCAATTTCCACTAATTTATGTCTCTAAAATGTTTTTATTAAAGTGACTAAGTAGATTCACTGCATTTGTTTTGCATCATCAAGACAAATTTGGCTCACAGGATCACATTTCAGTCCATGGTCATCTGGCTCCATTGCTTTGGGCCTGAGGCAAGGCAGAATATCATGGGAAGGGCACAGGAGAGGGAAATAACTCACCTCATGGAAGCAGAGAGAGGAGAACAAGATGTAGTCTTCAAGGGCATGCCCCCAAAGACTAACTCCCATCCAGGTCTCACCTCCTATAGTTTCTACTGCCTCCTAATAATGTCATGAAATTGTCCTCGGAGCCCTCATGATTGAATCACTTCCCCAAACCCCATTACCTCTGAATATTGCTGCATTGTGGACAAAGCCTTCAAAGTATGATCCTTTGGGGGATACTCCAATCCCAAATAAAACAGCTGTTAAAAGATTTAACAAAAATGTGTAAATAGAATAGTTAGTAAAGAGTAAGATTTTAAGAGACTGGGTTTTTTTTATTTTTATTTTTTTCTCCCAAACATAGCTTTACTTGTTTCTGTTTGCAAATGCTGACAAACTTTACTAATGTGAACCTGGGTTTTCTTCTTTTGGCCTCTTTAGAACACATCTCTCTAACTTACGCTGTTCTCTTCATGCTTAGGGGCATATCTGTGATTCCAGAACTACTTTTTTTATTAGTTGTTCAAAACATTACAAAGTTCTTGACATATCATATTTCATACAGAACTTCTGACTGAGTCTCTGTCACAAGGCTTTGGTTGATCATTGCTTCAACATGTGATCTGATGTTAATCAATACTTTATCTTCCTAACTTCCTGAGCAACCACATGGGTTTCTTCCCTGACCCTTTCGTTTTTCTTTGTTTTTCAACATCTTTGTGACAAAGTAGAAAGAAAAGTTTTTTCATTGTTGTAATATTATAATCTCTGTCATATTACATTATTATCTTTTTCCAGTTAGGATAAATTGCTTTTAAACCAAATATTTTATGCTTCATCTTTTTATCAAGAACCTTAACTATAGGGTGCTCCTTTTGGCATTTCTGATATTGACTTTTTATTTATTTTTATTTGTTTGACTGCTTATTTTTAAGTGATCAAGCAACTTCCCCAAAACACTTGACTAACATAACTAGTAGGACAAAGAATGATGATAATTTATGAAACCTCATAAAACATAACAGATTAAAAAACGAAGCAGTGCCCAGTTATAGCTTTTAAATATTTAGGGAACCTAAATTTAAAATTAGTCCTTGATTTTATTGGAAATTAGATAAAACTCTAAAATCAATGTAATTTAAACATAGTGTTGTTTATACGAATTCACTTTATGTAAACTTTTCAAGATCATTTCTTTTTTTTAAATATTTATTTTTTAGTTATAGATGGACACATATCTTTATTTTATTTGTATGTGGTGCTGAGGATTGAACTTAGTGCCTCATGCGTGCTAGGCGAGCGCTCTACCTCTGAGCCACATCCCCAGCCCCAAGATAATTTCTATTTCTTAAGATGAATTTAAAGCTTCACTTAAACTGGGCCTTTCTGTGAGGGCAGGTAACGTGGCAGTTCTAACTATAAGTGCTCTATGTTTCAATTGTGGGGATGTATCATATCCTTAGATTTTCTTTTGCTTTCCTTTCTGCTATAAAGTATTATAATGATCATTACCTCTTACTACCATTAGAAAATCCTCTAAAATACATGTTCTGTTGGGTTAGTGGCTTCTGCTTCATTTTTTTTTCATTTTTTTTTTTATTGGTTGTTCAAAACATTACAAAGCTTTTGACATATCATGTTTCATACATTAGATTCAAGTTGGTTATGAACTCCCATTTTTACCCCAAATACAGATTGCAGAATCACATCTGTTACATATCCACATTTTTACATAATGCCCTATTAGTAACTGTTGTATTCTGCTCCCTTTCCTATCCTCTACTATCCCCCCTCCCCTCCCCTCCCATCTTGTCTACCCCATCTACTGTATTTCACTTCTCTCCTTGTTTATTTACCCATTCCCCTCGCAACCTCTTATGTGTGATTTAGTATAACAATGAGCGTCTCCCTCCATTATCATGCAATTTCCCTTTTTCTGCTTCATTTTTAAGAAAGAAAGAACTGTCTAACAAGGTGCAACTACATAAAATATTTTTAATCTTCCTTGTACTTTGCTTTGTTGGGAACATTGTGAAAATGTCCTAATGTTCCTGGATTATACTGCCGAAAGGATTACATGGAGAATGCCAGATTTCCTGAGCATGAATGGCATGCATAGCTATGAAAGAAGGGCTTTTCTTTGGAGCAAGGGAGAATTCTGGTAAAGCCTTTTCATCCTTTTCTATCTTGGATTTTCCTTTAGCTTCTGGGAAAACACCAGTCATACTCTATCACTAAAGCATACCTAGGCCTTTTGGAAACCATAAGCAGTAATACATTGCCTAATGTGAAATAATGGCTCATTTCCCCACCAGCCTTTTAGAAGCTTAGAAATCTCTTGTATTATCCAAAATGGTCATGATTCTCCTACTAACTGGTATCTTATCTTGTTTTTCACAGCTATACACTGAAGTGTCAAACACAGTCAGATTTTGGCAAAGTGACAATGCAGTTTGAACTAGAAGTGTGCCAGCTACAAAAACCTGATGTGGTGGGCATCCGGAGGCAGCGGCTTAAGGGTGATGCCTGGGTTTACAAGAGATTAGTGGAAGATATTCTGTCTAGCTGCAAGGTGTAATTGAATGGTTTCTATCCTGCTTTGACAAATGTGGATGTGATACATAGAAACTGATGTGATTGGTTGAAATTTAAAGTCCATTGGAATTACCAACTCATTTCTAAAGAGCTATCTTAAAGACCAATATAATGCCTTTTTGTTTTTAAGAAAAAGGTATAATTTTGTGGATGAATCCAAGGCAAGTCTGTCATTATCTGTTACTGTCTTTTTTAATCATGCGATGTGTATATTAATAACTATTGACTTTTCTTGATTCACTTTCATATGTGAATGTAAGCTTTTACCTGTCCCTTTTAATGTGTAATTTCTTTCTGAAATAAAACTGTTCGTTAATATAACAGACTTTTCTTCTTTATATTTTATTTTGATCCAAATAAAATCTCTAATGGTTTCCTGACTATTAAGTAGAGACTGTTTGAGTGTGTTTTATCTGTTATCAAACATGCCTTGGGCAGAAAAGCAGATAAGAATTCATTTGCATAATTTTTTTCCTGTCTCTTATTTAAGTAGGATTTATTGAAATCGTTAACTAAGTCACAGCTGTGGTTACCAGAGTTAAACAACATATTTAATATGTTGAATAAAAGAGTATTGACTTTAGTATGTTCAGTCAACAATGGTAAATATCTAAACTATGAACCACCATGAAATGTTACTTTATGGTAATTTCCTTAAGTCTCAATGTTGGCCCCAAATTTGTATTTTTATTTCATTTTATTGGTCTCTAAAGGCCAGAACTCAAGTTACATTTGTATAGATTTTACCAATTATACTAGTTGGAGAAAAATTAATACTATTTCGGATCAGTAGCAATTGAGTGTTTTGTCATGTATTTATTTAGTAATCATTTAATAGGAGCTTCTAAGCATTGGGTTCTGGAGCTTAAGATGATACTGTCTTGTAAACTTAGGGAGTTCAAACTCTACTAGCGGGGGCAGATGTGTAGACCAGTATTTATAGCATAAAGGAGGTGATCTGAAGGTAGGAAAGATTTCTTGAAACAGCATTTGTGGGGCTGGTGTAGTAGCTCAGTGGTAGAATGCTTGCCTAGCACATGTGAGACATTGGGTTTGATCCTCAGCACCACATAAAAAAATAGACACAATACCTTTATTTTATTTATCTTCAACTAAAAATATTAAAAAAGAAAGAAAGAAAGAATCAGCTTTTGTTCTTGATTCACCTCCCTTATATCAGAAAACATTCGGCATTTACCACAAAGGGAAGAGTGAAGTATGCTGTTCTTGATGGTGAGAAGAGTATGTGTAAAGGCATGAAATTATAAAATCTAATTAAATGTTTAGAATCAGAAGGTGGTGCAGGGAGGAACAGTAGGAGATGAGGACAGAAAGTATAACTCATAAAGGAATTACAATACTCTATAAACTTAAGTTTTTTTTGTCAGGGGAGAGCCATTTAAATAATAAAGCGAGGTTTAAGTTTTTCATATTAGCTTTATTGAGAGAAAATTTACATATTGGAACATTGGCTTCTTTAAAATGTGTACAATTCAGTGGTTTTTTAGTATATTCATAGTTGTACAACTATTATCACAATTTAATTATGTAACGTTTACCCCAAAAAAGAAACCACTGGTGATGGTCAGTCTCCTTTTCCCATCCCTCAGCACTGGCAACCACTAATTTATATTCTGTCTCTAAAGATTCACTATTCTTGGCATTTCATGTAAATGGAGCCATATGATGTATTGCCCCTGGAGTCTGATGCATTCCTTCCCCGACTCTCTAAATTTTTTTTTGTGTGTGTGTATTGGGGAAATTGAACCCAGGGGTGCTTTACCAAATCCTTTTACTTATTATTTTGAGACAGGGACTCAAAATGTGATGGTCTTGCTAAATTGCAAAGGCTGATTTTGAATTTGCAATTCTCCTACCTCGGCCTCCTGAGTTGCTGGGATTATAGTATGTGCCACCTCACTCAGCTGGCTTTTTGTCTTGACATGAGGTATTCAAGATTTATCATGTAGTCATATTAGTACTTCATTCCATTTTGTAGCTGAATAATATTTCATTATATGGATATATCACATTTTACCCACTTATCAGCTGAAGGATATTAAGTTGTTTACACCTTCTTGTTATAAATAATGTTGGTGTGAACATTTGTGTATTTTTTTGTGTAGACATGTTTTCAGTTCTCTTGTATATGTATCTAGAAGTGAAATTCCTGGGTCATTTAGCATTTTAGGGAACTATCGTATTGTTTTCAAGTCCATTTTACCATTTTATTTATTTATATATTTTTTTATACATGTACTCTTTTTTTGCATTACAATTCTTAATACACATATATGCCACAGTTTTTCATATCTCTGTTTGTATATAAGGTATGTTGACACCAAATTCAAATCTTCATACATATATTTTGTATAATGATGACCATCACATTCCCCCATCCTTGCTAATCCCCTTCCCCATCCCTTTCCCTCCCACCACTCTTCCCTATCTAGAAATAATCTTCCTCCCATGCTCTCCTTCTCTACCCCACTTTGAGTCACCTCCCTTATATCAGAGAAAACATTCGGCATTTGTTTTTTGGGATTGGCTAACTCACTTAGCATAATCTTCTCTAACGCCATCCATTTACCTGCAAATAATCAATTCTTCCACTGAAGGACATCTAGGTTGGTTCCACAGTTTAGCTTTTATGAATTGTGCTGCTATAAACATTGATGTGGCTGTGTCCCTGTAGTATGCTGTTTTTAGGTCCTTTGGTATAGTCTGAGAAGAGGAATAGTTGGGTCAAATGGTGGTTCCATTCCCAGCTTTCCAAGGAATCTCCATAGTGCTTTCCAAATTGGTTGCACCAATTTGCAGTCCCACCAGCAATGTATGAATATACCTTTTTCCCCACATCCTTGCCAACACTTGTGGTTGTTTATCCTCATAAAAGCTGCCATTCTTACTGGAGTGAGATGGTATCTTAGAGTAGTTTTGATTTGCATTTCTCTGATTGCTAGAGATGATGAGCATGTTTTCATATATTTGTTGATTGATTGTATACCCTCTTCTGAGAAGTGTCTGTTCAGGTCCTTGGCCCATTTGTTGATTGGATTATTTGTGGTTTTTTGGTGCTTAGCTTGTTGAGTTCTTTATATACCCTAGAGATTAGTGCTCTATCTGATGTGTGAGGGGTAAAAATTTGCTCCCAGGATGTAGGCTCCCTGTTCACCTCACAGATCCATCCTTCCTTCCTTCCTTCCTTCCTTCCTTCCTTCCTTCCTTCCTTCCTTCCTTTTCCTCCCTCCCTCCCTCCTTCCCTTCCTTCCTTCCTTTTTTAAATATTTTTTTTAGTTGTCAATGGACATTTATTTATATGTGGTGCTGAGGATCAAACCCAGTGCCTCTCACATTCTAGACAAGCATGCTACTGCTGAGCCACAGCCTCAGACCCACAGATTATTTCTTTTGTGAGAAAAAAAACTTTTTAGTTTAAATCCATCCCATTTGTTGATTCTTTGTTTTAATTCTTATACTATAAGCGTCTTATTAAGGAAGTTGCGGCCTATCCCCACGTGATGAAGATTGGGGCCTACTTTTTCTTATTAGACGCAGAGTCTCTGGTTTAATCCCTAGATCCTTGATCCATTTTGAGTTAACTTTTGTGCATGGTGAGAGATAGGGATTCAATTTCATTTGTTGCATATGTATTTCCAGTTTCCCCATTTGTTGAAGATGCTATCTTTTCTCCAGTGCATGCTTTTGGCACCTTTGTCTAATATAAGATAATTGTAATTTTGTGGGTTAGTCTCTGTGTCCTCTATTCTGTACCATTGGTCTACCAGCCTGTTTTGGTGCCAGTACCATGCTGTTTTTGTTACTATTGCTCTGTAGTATAGTTTAAGGTCTGGTATAGTAATACCACCTATTTCACTCATCCTGCTTAGAATTGCTTTAGCTATTCTGGGTCTCTTATTTTTCCAGATAAATTTCATGATTGCTTTTTCTATTTTTATGAAGAATGCCATTGGGATTTTGATCAGAATTGCATTGAATCTGTACTGTGCTTTTGGTAGTATGGTCATTTTGATAATATTAATTCTGCCTATCCATGAGCAAGGTAGATCTTTCCATCTTCTAAGGTCTTCTTCAATTTCTCTCTTTAGGGTTCTGTAGTTTTCATTGTATAGATCTTTCACCTCTTTTGTTAAATTGATTCCCAAGTATTTTATTTTATTTTTTTGAGGATATTGTGAATGGGGTAGTTTTCCTCTTCAAAGGATTTGTCACTGATATACAGAAATGCCTTTGATTTATGGGTGTTGATTTTATATCCTGCCACTTTGCTGAATTCATTTACTAGTTCTAGAAGTTTTTTGGTGGAGTTTGTTGGGTCTTCTAGGTATAGAATCATACCATCAGCAAATAGTGCTAGTTTAAGTACTTCTTTTCCTATAGTTATTCCTTTAATTTCTTTCCTCTGTCTAATTGCTCTGGCCAGTGTTACAAGAACTATGTTGAATAGAAGTGAGAGAGCATCCCTGTCTAGTTCCTGATTTTAGAGGGAATGCCTTCAGTTTTTTTCCTTTTAGAATGATGTTGGCCTGAGGCTTAGCACAGATAGCCTTTACAATGTTGAGATAAGTTCCTGTTATCCCTAGTTTTTCTAGTGTTTTGAACATAAAGGGGCGCTGTATTTTGTCAAATGCTTTTCTGCATCTATCGAGATGATCATATGGTTCTTATCTTTAAGTCTATTGATGTGATGAATTACATTCATTGATTTCCTTATGTTGAACCTACCTTGCATCCCTGGGATGAATCCCGCTTGATCATGGTGCATGATCTTTTTGATATGTTTTTGTATTCGATTTGCCAGAATTTTATTGAGGATTTTTGCATCTATGTTCATTAGAGATATTGGTCTGAAGTTTTCTTTCTTTGAAGTGTCTTTGTCTGGTTTTGGAATCAGGGTGATATTGGCCTCTTTTTCTATTTCCTGAAATAGATTGAAGAGTATTGGTATTAGTTCTTCTTTAAAGGTCTTGTAAAACTCGATTGTATATCCATCCGGTCCTGGGCTTTTCTTGGTTGGTAATCTTTTGATGGCTTCTTCTATTTCTTCACTTGATATTGGTCTGTTTAAGTTGTGTATATCTTTCTGACTCAATCTGGGCAGGTCATATGACTTTAGGGATTTATCAATGCCTTCCCTGTCTTCTATTTAATTATTAGAGTATAAGGTTTCAAAATAATTTCTAATTATTTTCTGTATTTCTGTAGTGTCTGTTGTGATACTGCCTTTTTCATTACACGTCATTTTACCGTTTTATAATCCCACTAGCGATGTATCAGAATGCTCATTTTTCCACATT